GGGTAGAGGAGGGAAAGAAATAGTGTGTCTCCTTAACTGGAACACAGGCTGCCCTTTCACACTATGTTTCTCCCAGACTCCAAGCACAGTGCTCTTCCCACAAAGCCTCACATCTCTCTTCCAGATAATCTCTCCTGGGCCTACAGAGGCAGCCTTGCTGAAAGAAGCTGTGATTCTGGGGTCCTTCTCCACTCTCTAAAACATCCACCTCCTAATAACAGGCAAGCCCAGTGCTAAGCTCCTTAGACATGTGATCTCATTCATAACTATCCTTGGGGGGCACTATTATTACCCCTATCTTACACACAAGGAAACCAGGGTTCACAGAAGTGAAATAACTTTTGCCCAAGACATGGAGCCATATTCAAAACAAAGCCTGTCAGAGTCTAGAGTCTGTGCTCTGAAGCACCTAACTCACTTTCCTGAGAAACCTCTGGCCACTGGCCCTTCTTCCTAGGCATTCCTGCCAGGGGCTCTCCTGCCCTAGCCCTGCACGCTGGGCCACTCACTGCTCCTTCCTTCACAGATCTCTTTAATGGAAAGTATTCTTCCATTAAAGCATCTGGGTCCTGGACAATCCCCAGGCCACCTTCCACCCAAAATCTACACTCAAGTTGCCCCCCTCCAGAAGACCCCATCTCTTGTGAAAAGTAAGTACCCAGTACTAATCCTAAGTCTTGTCTTCCCTGACCTCCTTGTTCTCATTCCCTCAGCCCCCAGGCCCAGGGTGCCCTCTTTTCAGAGAAATTCCACAAAGCCTGGATGCCAGAGTCTTTTCTACTTACTCCTGAACCTCTCTGATCCCTTCCCCAATCCTGCTAGTAAGCGACCCTTTTCTAACTCCAGATTTACTCCCTCCCATCCCAAGGTTTCCTCTCTTCAGACAATCACAGGTCTACCCTGTCCCCTCACTCCAGTCATACCTTCTGGGCGACACAGAGGTTCCCTGCTACCTCTTCAGCCACCCCCTCCAATCCCTAGGCACACAGATAACTGCTTTAGGGACCAGGGAGACACTCAGCAACAGAAACACTCTCTCCACTCCACCCTGAGTACCCAGCACACACCCCCCCCTTTTATTTCTCCTTCCACATCCTACACTCTCCCCTCCCCCATATTTGCTACACCAGCTACATACTCCTGTGCTGAACACAAGGACCCTGTCCCCCAGATACTCCAACAACTTCAAACTCCAACTTGTTATCTGCCCCACCCGTTTTCCACACTCTTAATCCAAAATCATTCAGCAGTGGCCACTGAGTTATCTGTCCTCAGAGCCTTGCCAGCTCTAGACCTCTAGGTCCCTTGTTCAGTGAAGCATCCTCCCCTCCCTTGCCAGCTTCAGACACCAAGGCTCCCTGTGCTTCTAGAAGTCAACCAGAAGATCCCCAGGTTTCCCTGCATCAAAAATGCCCCTGCTTCAAGGTTAGCCTTCAGCCCTGGATCTCAAGAGTCCTCCAGGCCATCCTTAGACAGATGTGGGTCTCCCACATCCCCTAAATGCTCATCAGCTAAATACCAGAGCACCTAGTTCACCAGAATCTCCCTCGCCAGACAGCATCACCTCTATCTCACCAACTCATCCTAGCAGGAAACGAGACTTCCCGTTACCCCATCCAGCAGCAAACTCCAGGATCCTCCGTCCTCAAAACACTCCCAGCCCTGAACATCTGGTCATTCCTTCCCCAGCCCTGAAAGCACGGCTCCTAAGGTTCAACACGCAAGCTGGGCTAGCACGGCCCCCAGGCCCACCCAGCTCCAACCCCTAGGATCACCATTCCCAAGACCCTCCCTGGTCCCCAAGAGAAAACCTCTAGTTCTTAAGACTCCCTTCGGCTCCAGAAACCACGGCTTCCGGTCTCCGAGCCCTCAGCTCCAGAATCCTCTACACCCGCCCCCACCCCCGGATTTTCCTCATCTCCGAAACTGAGAGCCCCCATTCCCAGTGTCTCCCCTGCACCGAATGCCAGGATCCACCCTCCAGTCGTCCCGAGGCCCTTGTCCCCAGATCGTTTTCCGCGACGGGTAGCGGGATCCCGCAGGCGCCAGGCTCCCGCGTCCCACAGCCCTCTCTCGGCCCTGACTCTGGGCTCCCCGGTCCCCGCCCCGCGCACTCTCACAATGTCCGTCCGGCCCCGAGTAGCTGCCAGGCTCCGGGTGCGGCTGCAGCCCGGGAGGCGGTGGCTGCGAGGTTCCCTCCAGCTCGGAGCCCCCCTCGGTCTCGACCTCCTCGTTGTTGTGCCCGGGTAGCTCTGGTTCGTCGTCGGCCTCGAGCTCCCGCTCGTCTTCGGGCTCCTCGGCCTCCAGCGCCGCCTGCAGCCGCTCAGCAAGCTCGGCCTTGAGGCCCCGAGTGTCCAGGCCGCGGCGCTGCAGCTCTTCCCGAAGTTCATTCACCTTCAGACGGCGCACATCCATGGCCCGGGCCCCCGGGGCGGCCCCGAGCCCGGCCCGGCCTCCCGGGGCTCTGTCCCCCTTAAACCTTTACTGTCAGGAGGCGAGGGGGAAAGGGGGGGGCCCCACTCCAATGGCCGAGGCAACTCAAAATGGCCGCCGCCACCTCCCCCCCCCCTTGGCCCATGCTATGCAACACGGGTGCCAATTGGCCACTGCGTGGGGGGCAACGGGCGCGGGCCCTAGACTCCGCCAATCAGAGAGTGGCTTTCAAAAGGTCGTCAATGAAAGGGCGCAAGAGCTGCCGGGGAGGAAGCGTTGGCCTACGTCGATTCAGCGGCCCCAGCGGAGGGCGGGAAAAGACGGGAGGCGGAGCGAGCGGTGATTGGGTAGTGACCCTGCGCTCGCTCCCGTAGGATCAAATGGGGGAAAGGGAGTAAAGATTTGAACCAATCAGCGATGAGATCTCAGAATGAGCGCGCCCCACGGCCTTTCCGGAGCAGCCCCTACATCAAACTAATGTCTCTGTAACATATCCTGATTGGTCTAGATCTCCCGCCCCTAGAGGAGCCCAAGCGGGTAAATCCACTAGAACCAATGACATGGAGGGTCAACAGACACCCCCCCGTAACTATTGCCTTTAAGAAACCGGAAAGAGAGGAATTCACGAGGGACCGGCCCCTTGCCGTTAGGGCGGTTTCAAAACAATCTGTCCACCAATCGCAATTATCTCACTAAAGCTCGCACCGCTGGATCGCTTTAGGAGAAGCAAACCAGCCCGACCATTCTTCAGCGGGCGGCCTCACAAATTTCACTGTGGAGGGAGGTATATGATTAAGTATATGATTAAGTCTATAAGTTACTCTTGATCTGGAAGATACTCGTTGCCTTTATGCAAAAAGCAACCCTTCGACTTAAGTGCGTCCTGAAGGTTTGATAATAGAGGCCAGACTAACAACGGAAGAAAAGGTGTAAAGGAAATCGCACCCTCTCCGCTTGATAGGAAACGTCACAGGGCGTCTCTTTCCACGACGATAGCTTCTTCGCTGCCTCCTTCCTCTGTGGTTGGCATCTTATGTGGAATGGGCGCCCTGCACGTGACCACAGAGCCTCCAGAAGTTGGGGGGGGGGTGTCTCTACCCCAAATCCTTTAAATGGCTGTTGAGTGTATCTGGCTGTTTGACGTCTGTACCGAGAAGCTCAAGCACACGGGTCGGTAGCTAAGCCTCACTCTGCTAAGTGCAAACGCCACCGGTTCACAGTGCTGAACCCTGCACCGCCCGTCGCCTCCAACTGAAAAGACGCAAAACGTCTGTAAGAGGCACAATCAAGACACGCATGCAAACGCTAGCTGCCCACTGAGCCTTCCCTTAAACCCACAAAAGCCCCGCACAGCCTCTACGTAGACGAAAGGCACACACAACACAGATAAACAAATGACCGTGAGCTCGGATCACATGCATCAGCACAGGGGACAGTACACCCCACTGCAGTGTAGACAGGCCCACTGAGGTCTGCGCGGGCGGCGGCATCGAAGGGTAAAGACACAGGGGTAGTGCCCGGCCGGGCGCGGCTCGGCGGTTGAGCATCGACCTAGGATCCAGGCGATCGGGGTTCAATTCCCGGTCAGGGCACATGCCCAGGTTGCGGGCTCCATCAATGACTCTCTCATCATTGACGTTTCTCTCTCTCCCTCTCCTTTCCTCTCTCTGAAATCAATAAAGATATATTATTAAAAAAAAAAAAAAGACCGGGGTGGTTGCATTATAAGCTTACACTGCGGGAACCTAGACACACAGCACCCACTCAGAAGCGGCACAGACACTCACGTGGGCGCCGAGGTTCCAGTCCAGACACCCCGCCCCTCGCCCACGTCGGACTTCCTCCCTCCTCCCAGCTTCCCACAGATTTATCCTAAAAAAGTTTGTGGCCGGGACCGAGCTGTTCTCCGTGTTCAGGAGCCGCCACCGGGGGGCGCCCGGGCGCTGCCAAGGGCTCCTCCGCCGGCTGCGGGACACGCCCGGGAACTCGCGGCCGCCCTGCGTGCAAAACCCAGCGCCCGCTGGTCTTGGCGGGAGCCGCTTCGGGGGCGGGTGATTCTTGGCGCCGCTCTGTGCCTGTGTTTCTGTGTGAATCTGGACGCTTGGGTCTGTGAGTACCTGTGTACTCCCTATGTCTCTGTGCATTTCTGCCGCTTTACCCTTTCTATTGCTCTAGGTTCTTCCTGTTCTTGGTATCTGCCTGTGCATCGTCTGTTTTAAGTGTCTGTATCTATAATTTTGTGTGTCTCTGTTACTGTGTCTGAATTTCAGGGTCTCTGTATTTGTGACCAGGTGTGCCTGCGTATGCCCATTAATTCAAGTGTCTGTTACTTTAGGGGACGGGTGTCTCTGCGTGACCCTGTATTTATGGGCCAATTCTTCAGGAGGGATTTGGAGAGTCTGCTTTTTCTTTGCTTGCGTGACTTTTAGCCTATGTGTATGTTCATTGCTACCTTCTTTAGAAAGGGGAGAACTCCTAGGCCTCATCAAACGCTTTTTTTATCAATGGGGAAGCTGAATTTCCAGGGAGGCCACATGACTGCTGAGAGAAACAAGAAGAGACAGAAGTGTGGTTACAAAGTTTTATGTGATCTAAGCCCCTCTGGAGGCGCCAGAGTCCACACTCTGTACAGGGGGGTATGAGGGACTGGCTCAGAGGGGCAGCATGGCCCAAAAGGAGGAAGATTGTCCCCTGGGGAAAGGAGGCCTCCCTAATGCATTGCACAGGCTTGAGGGGGGCAAACCCCCACAAGAAGGGGAGGAGGAAGCAGAGGTGGCTCGGGAGGGTCACACAGCAGAATACTATAAAGTTAGGACCTTGGAACCTTGGAGTTTGAGATCTATAGACCTTTAAAATCTTACAATGTTTGAATCTTAGAACTACAGTGCCTAGAATCTTAAGATTTAGAATTGTGGATTCTTGGGCCCTTAACTAAAATCCTAGAAAGGCAGAATGTAGCATAGAACCTAAAGGTGTCCAACATTAGAAATGATTAGAACTTTGGTATCTAGTTAGTCACAACTAACTATAGAGTCTTATACCTTAGATGCTGAGGATCCAGAATCTTGGACCAATATAATCTAGAGTGCCTTGGAACATGGAACTGAACATTTTAGAATCTTAGAGTTTAATAATCTAGAACCTTGAAGCATATGATCTTGAATCTTAGACACAGAGAATCTAGGTTCTTAGACGAAGTCTTAGAACATCACATCTTAGAACATTAGACCTTAGAACCTCCACCTGTAGATTCTTAGAGTGTTTGAATTGCAGATTCTAGAATCCTAGACCTTTAGGATCCAGAATCTCATAACAAGAGCTTCGAGGATCATAAAGCCTTAGAAACTCTAATTGACCATCATTAGAATCTTAGAACTTGAAAAGATAAAACCTTGAAGTCTTATGCTCTAGAGTCTCGAGTCATCCAGAGGGCTTATACTCTAAGAGGCTTAGAACATAAAATTTTAGAACATCAGGCCTTAAAACCTCCATGTCTAGAATTGTAGAATCTACAGTGTTATATCCTAGCATCATAGAGTCTTAGTTCCTAGGCCTAAAATCTTAGAACTTTAGAACCCCAAAGCTTATGGGTTTTATCAAGAGTCTTAAAACCAGAAAAACCTAGTGCCATAGAATCTCAGAACTTTAGAATATAGGCCTTAGAACTTTCATGTCTAGAACCTTAGCACTTTAGAGACTTTGGAATTTCAGGTCCTTAGAACCAAAGATTCAGCATCTTTGAAACCTAGAACCTAGGCTCTTTAAACCTTAGAATCCAGAATGTTGGAATGTTAGACCTAGGAAGACCCTTAAGGATTGCAGTCCAACCCCTTCATTTTACACATGGGGACACTAGGGTATGGAAAGGGAGAGGATCTCTGTGGGATGGAAGTGGAATAGGTAGGAAGAGAGGGCTGCAGTTGGGGGTAAGGTCTGCAATGGAAATGTAGGCGAGGTCCCCCAGTGGCAGTGCCTAGCTTGGGTCCTGAGAGGAAGTCCCAGGCAGAGGGTTGTCTCAGGCTCCATCCTCCTGCCCTGGGGGCGCTGGGGAGCCCCTGTCAGCAGGTAGGGTGGGGCCGGGGGCTGTAGAAGGGCAGAGGACATAGCGTCCAGCAGGGTGGACCTCAGCTGCGGTGAGGCAGCTGCAGGAATCCTTAGGATCAGGCTGGGTTGGGGGGTCAGCTCCTCCGGCAGCTCCAAGTGGTTCAGCATGACTCCCGCCCTCATCCATGTTGACATAGAGGATTTCGTCAGGCTCCTGGGCAGGGGGCAGGGCCTTCAGCGTGTTCTCCAGATCTTCCCGCAGCTGTGTAAAACTTGGCCGGTCCTGGGGGTTTAGCTCCCAGCACTGGGACATCAGGGCATACCTAGGACAACAAAGTGCGATGTGGGAGACTGAGCAGGGACTTAGAAGGGGAACAGTCTTGGAGTTTGGGGGAAATTGAGGGCACTTGGGACTAGGGGCATTTCATGGGACTGGAAGAAACTATCACAGTTGGGGGCACCTATGGGGACTAGGAATTCTCAAGAGTTTCTGGGACACTTGGGAAACCTCTCTGGGTATGGGGTGATGTTCTAGTGAGAGTTTGCTAGAGCAGAGCTTTCCAGTGTGGCTCCCCAGAACAGACTGTCATCAAAGACTTGCAAGCTGTGTTGGTTTAAAATATGTGCTCAAATTCTTTAACGTTCCTCCCTTCAAACTATGGAGCCTAATTTCCGTCCCTTTGAGTGTGGGCTGGATTTCTTGACTCGATTCTGACTTAGCAGCTGTGATGCTGTGTGTGACTTCTGAGACTAGCCTGGAAAAGGCGCTGTGGTTTCCTCCTTGCTCTTTCTCTTAGAATGCTCATCTGGGGGAGGCGAGCCACCATGTTGTGAGGGAGCTCAAGCAGCCCTATGGCAAGGTTTGCAGAGCAAGGAACTGAGGCCTCCTGTCATAGCCACGTGAGTGAGCTACCTTGAAAACAATCTTCTAGTCCCAATCTTCAGATGGCTGAAGCCCCATCTTGACTGCAACCTCATTAGAAACCCTAATTCAGAATCACCTTGCCAAGCTGTTCCCAGACTCTGACCTTCAGAGACTGTGAAGTAATGAATGATTGTTGCTTTAAGATACTGGATGTGGGGTATAGATAACTAATACACCAGCTATGCAGCCTTTGGCAAGTGATTTACCATCTCTGTGGGCCTCAGTTTCTTCACCTGCAAATGGGAATAATAGTGGTACCAGTCTACCTCATATGGCCATTTTAAGGACCAAATGAATTAATACATGCAAAGTGCCTAAAACAGTGCTTTCTAGTAAGTTCTATAGACACATTAGCTATTATTCTTGTTCCCCTCAGCTCCTGGATACCCAAGAAGGACCTGAGGAGTCTTCAGCCCCAGGCTGTCCCCTCCTGGCCTAGCAACATTGTGCTGGATAAATGTTCTGCTCTTCTGGGTGTCAAAGTTTGATAAGCGCTGTCCTAAAGGAGCCCAAGGACATCTCAGAGGAGGAGACTTGAGAGTTTGAAGAAGCTCAGTATAACAACCTGAAGGGTTTTGCAGAAGGTCCTGGGTGTTGAAGAGCATCTGGGGAAAGCATGGGTGCTCAGGGGTCTGGGATGGATTAGAATTCTTTGAGAGTGGGGGAGTTCCAGGGGCAGGGCCCCCAGGTAAGGTTGTGTAGTTATCCACTGCTCTTGGATAACTGGTTGAGGGGGCTGATCCAGCATGCACTCCGTGCACAAGGTAAAGGAGGAAAGGGTGCCTTGTGCTAATTCACACCGTTACACCTTTTGTTAATTCACACCCTGCAGAGCAGTGGCGAGGGGGCAGGTGGCCTCCTGAACAGTCTGAGGGATTCTGTACAGATTTTAGAGGGTCCTGAATATGTCGGGGCCATGGGGGGTGCTCAGGGGTTTGGACTGAAAGCTGGGATTGAGTGGGAATGCGGGGGTCCTAAGGGTCCTCACAGTCCATCCAGACAGTCCACAGGCTGCTTCAGGCGGTTCCCCTGGCGCAGATAGTCATAAATCTCACTGTTTTCCACTCCCGGATATGGGGTTTGGCCCCGAGTGGCAATTTCCCACATTGTCACCCCAAAGGACCACTGTGAAGGGCAGAAGGGAGAGAATTAGAGTCTCTCCTGCACAAAGACAACCCCCAACACACCTTTGTGTACACATGTGCACATAGCTATCTTTGTGGGTACATCACAGCTGTTCACAGAACCACTTTGGCTCAGGTACACCCTCATAGACGTAACTTTTGTGCACACACAGACATGCTCACCCATGCACACATTTATACACTTAATGGACACATGGTCTCATGTGTCACCCTCCACACCCTGGCTATACACATGCATACACACTTACCACTGCCTTTCCTAACCTAACTGTCCACACATCCCATGTAGAACCTGCCACCACGCACACATGGACCTGTCCGTATCCCCAGCATGTCCACACCTCTGTTCACAGTCACCCATACCCCAGACGTGGGTAGCCCATGTGGAATGGCCCCTGTGAGCCCCGGTGCAGTGGGAGATGGTCGGGCCACAGCCTTCTGTTGTTCCCACTCCCATCAGAGGTGCACGTACCACATCGCTCTTGCTGGTGTAGACGCGGTCAGCCAGGCTCTCGATGGCAATCCACTTGACTGGCATCTTGGCAATGCGCCCCTGGCGGTAGTAGTCCCCATTGTAGATCTTCTTGGAGAGCCCAAAGTCCGCCACACACACAGACATGTTCTCGTTCAGCCTGCCAGGGTTGCGGAGAGGAAGAGTCACGACACGGGCTCCCTCCACCAGGAGCCCACCCTTGCTCTCAGACACATCTCTATCTCCCCCCAGCTGTCCTGCTCAGGGGCAGGGGCCTGTCTCCCCTCCTTGCCCCAGATGCGGAGAGAACTGTGGTACTTCTTGTTTCCTCCATAAAAATGAGGGTGGGACAGAAAGCTACTGAGGGCCTTCCCAGCTCTGGCTTTTTGTCAGATTCTAAAGTCCTTCCTAAGCTCCTTGGGTTCGACTCTCTGATTTAAAAACAACACAAAACTGTTTTCTCGATGTATAATATATATATTGAAATGTGCACAAATCTGAATTCTCAAAACACACCCATGGAACCAGCACCCAGATTAAGAAACAGAATATTGTGGGACATCCATACAAGGAATATTACACAGCAAAGAAAAACAACAAACTACTCACACACACACACACACACACACACACACACACACACACACACACACGACATGGACTAATCTCAAAAACATCACACTGAGCGAAAGAAGCCGGACACCAAGGAGTACAAAATGCATGATTCCATTTGTATGACATTCAAGAACAAGGGACAGAAGTTGATGTGACAGAAGAGTGGTTACCCCTTGTATCCATTAGGAACAGCTACTGGGAAGGGTCACCATCTTGGCAACTTACTTTCAAGTGGTTGAGGGGAGAGAGAGAGAAAGACAGAGAAGGCCTGTGGGTATCCATTGTACAGTTCTTTCACCTTTCCTGTAGGATTGGAATTTCTCAAAATAAAAAGTGTTGGGGGGGTAAGGAAATGTCCATATTTCTGAGCGTTGTGAACATTTACACATTTTATAGAAGATTCTCTGATTCTCCAGCTCCAATTTCTATGAGTCCAACATTGTAATGAAACGAATATTCTAAGCCCGTGTTTACACAAACACACACACACACTCATACACGCCCATTAATGAGGGGGGTCTGGTCTTATCCAGTATGGCACCTCCCCAAGGGCAGCCCCAGACAGGACTCTCAGCGTAAAGAGGGACAGAGATGAAGCTTACATGTCACCACCCTCATGGGTCACCTCTGCCCCTTTGCTCACCTCCTGCCGCCCACATTCAAATACTCCTTTAAGCTCTCAGGGCGTGGCCGCCTCCTCCAGGAGGCCTTTCCAACCCCCGTGCTGACCCCCATCCCAGCTGAGTTCTGACCTGCACGGGGGTGTGTGTGTGTCTGGCCCCCTCCCATCCTGGGCGGGAGGGAAGGAGCTCCCTGAAGGGGAGGGACTGTCCCGGGAAAGCTCAACACGCACATGCAGTTCCTGGCGGCCAGGTCCCGATGTATGAATCTCTTGGTGCTCAGATACTCCATGCCGCTCGCAATGTCCGCCATAAACTTCACCAGCATCTGAGTGGGCAGGAACTGGGGGGCCAGAGCAGGAGGGAGGTCAGCCGGGCCCCCGGATCCATCCCTCCCCTTGCCTTTCCCTTCCCGTGTGTGCCTAGCTCTGCCCTGTGCCGGCTTCCCGTGGCTCCACTTTCCAACCAGGCCTATAAAATCCCGACCTGCCTTCCTCCGGGACTTAGTCTCCTCCTGCCCTTGTCCTCAACATGCGCCCCTTCTAGAGGCCTCCTTTCTGGTCTCCACCTCCGAGGCTTCGGCCATGCTGCTCCCTCCGGGATCGCTTCTTCCCAGACCTTCCCACCTCCCACCAGCCGGCTCCTCCTTCAAGTCGCCTCCTCCGTGAGGCTTCTTTGTCCATCCAAAGGAATTGCCGGGCCTCCTGTCATTCATCCCACTCTGCAGTTCCTTCCCAGCTGTCGGATCATCTTGCCTGTCCGGTCGTTATCTGGTGTATTGCTGTCCCACTGTCAGCTCCACGAGAGCCCGCCCGTGGTCACCACGGTCTGCCCAGTGTCTAAGTAGCACCAGGCACTTGGTGGGTGCTCAGTTGACACTTGGAGACTAGACGATGACGTGCCCCTTACCACCGGCTGGTCCCCGAGTCGAGAGTAGAGAAGGAAGCTGTGTAGGTCTCCGTGTTTCATGAAGGGTAAGATGACCACGGGTGCCGGGAAGCCTTCTAGTTCCGAGCCCTGGAAACAGACGCCTGGGCCCCAGGCAACCCCATCACTCCAGCTGGACAGAAGGGAGGCCGCCCCCTCTCCCAGCTCTGTCTGTGCCCCTCCCTCAAATCGGGCCTCCAAACTGGTGTGGGGATGGCAAGGACCAAGCTTCAGGGAAGCCATTTCCAGCACTGTTCCCAGGGATGTTTCGGCTATTTTTGGGAAAGGTCAGAGGTCACATTCCAAGCTGAGGGAGAGAAGGAGGGGGAGCTTGCTGGCTCTGAGGGAGGGGGAACAGGGAGCCTGGAGGCTTGACCTCCCCCTCGTGTTGCCTCCCCAAGGCCTGGAGGCCCTGAGTGGGGCGCCCCTCACCGATGAGCCTCATGACGTTTGGGTGGTCAAATTCCTTCATGCAGACGGCTTCGCTCAGGAAGTCCTCCAGCTCCGACCTTGTGCAGATGGCGACTTGGGGGGGAGAGGAGAGGGGTGAGAAGGAGGGGAGGGAAGGGGGAAGGAGTATTCCCCCTCTTCCTCCGCGCCTTCATCATCATCATCTTCCTCGCGGAACATGATTGCTAAGTGCCAGGTGCTACACTCAGCGCTTTACATAATTAACTCACTTAATCCTCTGAGGTGTTCCTACTATTTTCTCCACTTTAAAGATGGGGAAACTAAGGCACAGAATGGTTAAGGACCCTGCCTGAGGGCATACGCAGCTCACAGTGGAATAGGCGGAATCCGAAGTCAGGCTCTGGGTCCACGTGCTCACCACAGCCGTGGGGGTCCACACGATTTTTCCTGTCTTACAGCTCAGGACACTGGCTCACAGAGGCAAAGTGACTAGCCCAAGGCCACACGGCTGGGACTGAAACCCAGGCCAAGAACATAGCCTGGTACATAGGAGGTGCTCAAAAATGAATGAGTGGCTGGCTGAGTGATGACTCCACAGCGCAAGCTTTTACCTCTGTGGCTCAGAAAGGATTGTGGCTCCCTCCCCTCCAGCCCAAGCCTGACCCTTTATGCTTTTTCCCCGTGTGGAAAGGATTTCTTGCAGTGGAATTCCTGTGCTGTGTGACCCTGGACTGGCTCCCACCTTCTCTGATGATGGAAATAATATAGTCACAGTCCACATCCACTAGATGTACCATGTTCCATCCGCAGCATTAAGTGCTTTGCCTCACAGCATCCTAGGAGGTAGGTTCTGTGGTAGCGCTAATTTGCGGTTAACTTTTTGCTCTTCTGCCTCCCTAGAGGCATAGGGAAGGGGTGAAGGCCGGGGGTTGGGGGTCCCACGTGTGCGCACAGACTCACTCTTCATTGTCTTCACAGCCACCTTGAGGATGGAGTCCTCCTGGTTGAGCTGGCCCTCCATCACAGCTCCAAACTCTCCTGCAGGGGACCAGAGGGAGGCGCTGACCCCAGGCAGGGCCACAGGGACTGCACTTCTTGTGGTTGGGTGGGCGCGGGGAAGTGAAGGACTCCGAGGCTCAGGCACATGTGTATGTGTGCGGGGGGGGGGGCAGGGGGGGGACACTCACCTTCTCCCAGGGTCTTCCCCAGGGCCACCTTATGCCGGTCCACCATCACATCCCGCAGCTTCTCCTTCAGCTCTTCGCTGATTCCCAGGCTGTTCACTGCATGGGGAGTGGGCGTGGGCAGAGTTATGGCGCTGAGCTGACATTCAAGCGACACGAGTAGGCACATGCCCATTGTTAAAATACTGGAATACTTCTGCAGTCATTCAAAAATAGCTACTGCCCTGAGCACCCCCCACTCCCACCCCAGCTCCTCCTCTAGACCACTTGAATCTTCCCCAAAGGGACAGCTAAAGGGTTGGAGCCTGTCACATACTCTCCCCCCAGTGGGCACCCTGATTTGTTAGCATTTTGCCATACCGGTTGTTGAAAATATTTATTAATGTTTTATTGAGGTATATCATCGGTACATATCGTAAGTGAGCAGCTCAATGAATTTTCATATGTAAACCCAGCAGTCTGACTAGCAGCCAGGTCAAGAACGGATCATGACCTGCCCTGTCAAGGGTGACCACTTTCCTGACCTCTCTCACCACAGCTCCGTCTTCTCTGTTTGGGGATGTTAATCACATATTGTGTTCTCTTTTGTGTCTGGCTTCTTTCACTCAACACTATGTCTATGAGACAGCTGTCATGTAGTTGTTGTGTGTAGTTGTAATTGATACATTTTCATTGCTGTACAGAAACAGTTCCCAAAGTTATTGGCCCCAGGACCCCCTTACATTCTTTCTTTTTTTAAAATATGTTTTTATTGATTTTTTTTTTTTTTTAGAGAGAGAGAGAGGAAGGGAGAGAGAGAAAAAGATAGAAACATCACTGATGAGAGAGAGTCATTGATCGGCTGCCTCTTGGATGCCCCCGACTGGGGATTGAGCCTGCAACCCGGGCGTGTGCCCTGACCAGAAATCAAACTGTGATCTCCTGGTTCGCAGGTGACCGCTCGGCCGCTAAACCATACCGGCCAAGCACCCTTTTACATTTTTAAAATTACGTAGAGCTGCAAAGAGCTCTCATTCAGGTGGGTTATATATATCGATATTTACTGTATTCAAAATTAGAGCAAATACATTTTAAAACACAAGAATATATTCCGTCAACCAACAGAGTGATGACATTGTCATACATTAGGAAGCTTCTGGAAAACTCCATGGAATCCCTGTGAGAGAGTGAGAGTGCAGAAGGGCAAAACTTGACTTGGAATTATTATGAAAATAGTTTTGACCTCACGGACCCCCTGCAAAGATCTCAGAGGCCCCCAGGGACTGGATCACACTTTGAGAATTGCCACCGCATGTGACTCCTTTAGATACGTGTGACCTGCTCGCTTCTTCTTCCTCCTCTTAAACTAATGGCTTTCCCAGCCCCTTCCGAAATCTCCCTGGGGCCTGGAAACCTTCTCACTGTGTGCTAGGAAGAGACCTAACTCTGTCCCTTTCCCCCCCCTGGATTTAGGTTTCCCCAAATGGAAAGATGAAGATATTTGACTGGGTGGCCTCTGAGGTCCTCCTTAGCTGGGACCCTTCATAACTCTACAATCCTCTAGCAGTGAACCTATAGTTGTAAGATTCTATGATTTTCAAGACCCTAAGGATCTACAGGACTGAGCCCATAATTTTTTAAGCCAAGATCTAACCTCCCTCCCTAACATTCTCTAATTCCAAGAGGCAGTAAAGGAGATGAACTTCAGAGCCAAACTGCCTGGGTTCGAATCCCAGCCCTCCATCTAACAAGCTGCGTGGCCTTGAGCAAGTGTCTTAACCACTCTGCGCTACAGTTTCCTCACCTGTGAAGTGAAGGGGGAATAACATACCTCCCTCACTGAGTTGCTCTGAGGATTAAATTAAGTGACGTGTGCAGAGCACTTAGAACATTCCTGTCACATAGGAAGTGCTAGGGTTGGCTGTCAGCAGCATCATGATCACATCATCACCATCATCACCATCATCACACTGTTCTAAGACCCTATGGCTCTGGGGTTTGGTCTTCCAAGATTTATTGTGTTCAAGGTTCTATTGTTCTGAGGTTCTGTGTGATTCCACATTCTGGTGTTCTTAGGGTCTGCGGCCCTAACATCCTAGTATTCCGAGGCCTTCAGAAACTTCTGGCTCACACAGCTCCAGAAGCCTGGATCTCTACGCTTGGTATCCCCAGACCAGGGCGGGGAGGCACGGGGCTCACTTACGGGTGGCTTCGGTGGTCCGGCGACTGTAGGACTTGCGAACGCGGTACCTGACCACCAGCTCGCCCCTCTCCACTGTTGGTTCAAACACCTCTCTGGGGGGAGTGGGGAGGAGGTGAGGGTAGAGCCATGGGGAACCCCCTCCTCCCGCCAGCAGCGAAAACAACTGCCGCCCCGACCCCAAGCCTGCCTTCCCTCTCCTGCGTTTGCTGAGCGTGTCTTGGCTGCCGCTTCCTTCCCTCCATTCATTCCCCAGGCCCCTGCCCTCGTTCCAGCTCCTGGCAATCTCTGCTCCTGCGCCAGCCTCTTCACCAGCCTGTCCCTGCCTCCAGGTTCTCCACCCTGGTCCACGTGAGCCCCCCACCCACGGGGCCCCAACTCACCCGTAGCGCGTCTCCTTCTTCCGCCGGTGCACAAGAAACAGGGCCAAGATGAAGACACAGGCGGCGGCCACCACTGCTCCCAGCAGCACGTACCACCAGGGCCATGAGAAGGAGGGGGCTGGAGGCTCGCTCACTGTCAGGGGCACGGGGGACAGGTCACGCATGGCTGAGGCCCTGCGTCCATCTCCCTGGGGCCCAAGGGGTGATGTTGGAGGGAGAGAGGTGGCCATGCCTGCTGAGGCCTGCGGCAGGTGCATTCGCGGGCGGGGCAGGGCAGGGCCGGGCATGCAGTGACCGCGACAGGGGTGAGCTGTTAAAGCGGGAGCACGAAGCTTGTGGGGTGGGCGAGGTGACCTGAGAGCGGGATGGACAGTTGAGGAGTGTGTGGAAGGAGGGTGCGACGGGAGTGAGAGACCTGCGTGGAATGGGTTATAAAATGCAAGGAGGGCTGGATGAGCATGGGATGGGTGTGAGGAAACTGCAAGTACTATAGGAGTGTGTGGTATGTGTGATAATTGTGCAAGAAGGGAGAACTTGGGTGTGGAAAAGCAGGCGAGTCGGAGAAAGAATGCATGCAGTGTAGGCTGGGTGCAGGGGGCCTGTGCCGTAAGTATACAGGAACTGTGAGGCTCCTGGGATGAACGGCCAAGGAGTATTTTTGACGAGTGTGTGATGACTATGGAAGGGTTTTCGCAAAGCAAGGATGAGAGTGAAATAAATGTGCAAAGGGGTGTGGTGTGCAAAGGAGTGTGTACAGAATGTGGATGGGTGCTGAGGGGATTGGGGATGAGTGAGGTGTACTCGAGGAGTTTCAGATACAAGGAGTGAGCAGTGATTTGTAAGAATTAACTTTGGTGTGAGAACAGTGTGCGATGAGCCTGTAAAAAATGTGGGAAGGGTAAATGAGGAGCAGGGGATGAGTGGAAAAGGTGTGCAAACAGGGTGGGAGTGGGTGTGTAAGAAATGAAGAGTGGGTATGTACTAAGTGTGCCGGGACTTCGGTGTGGGTGTGTGCAGAGAGCGGAAATGGGTTAGGATTGCCTGGGGGGGTAACATGTAAGTATTGGATAAGTGTGCAAGGAGAGTTGTAGAGTGTGGGATAGTGTGGACTGAAAGTTTTCCAGTGTTTGAATGTGGGATGTATGGTGAGTGTGTAAAAAGTATGCAGTTTGTGATGAGAAGTGTGGGCTTGCACTGGGTTTGGGAAACATGTGTGAGGAAATGGTATGAACATGAAAAGAGGGTGGGTTCGTGTGGAAAGGGTTTGCAAAGAAACGCAGGAAGGCATGTGAGAAATATTTCAGGGTAGCAGGATGTTATAAGAGGTGGAATGTAATGGTGCTAGGAGGGTACAATGGGTGTAGGAGGAATGTTCAAGAATTGCTGAGAAATATTTGAGAGGGATGAATGTGAGGGGGATAACTCATCTGTTGGTCTGTCCATCCATCCACCCACCTACCCACACACCCATTCATCTACCCATCCATCCATCCATCCATCCATCCATCCATCCATCCATCCATCCATCCAT